TATCCCATAACAAGTGTTGACAAAAATGATAAGCCTTCACCAGCAGTGGAGGACCGTGTAAATCTGAACGCCATGCTCCGCCTGTATAACTTTCAAGTGGATCCCGCTTATTGTATCATCCGATAACGCAATACTCTGATGATTGAGTTTCAGGTGCTCTGGGTACCTGCATCCTAGCCGCTTATCAGGAGAAGCCAGTCAAGATCTGGTATTAAGGCTTGCGCCTGATGAAGTCTAGGTGCGTAAATCAAGCCTACACGATACATTCCCTGAATTGGGTGGCCTGCCCATTCAAGAAAGACAGTTGAGTGCCAATATATATTCAAAAGGTCTTATTGGAGTTATTTGATTACTACTGCTTCAGCACTAACTTTAGAGTGAAGTACACCGACCGCGTCTCCAATGAGACAGTCTCAACTCATTGCAACAACATCGCAAGGATATCCCAGGCTATCCAAGAAAGACAACTGAGGTGGTTTAGGCATGTTCTTTGTCGTCAAAATCACGACCTCAGTGTTACTGCCCTCGATACGGCACCCGTATCCGATCGGAGACGTCAAAGAGGAGTAAGCTCAAAACCAGGCTCGACACAATACGTCAAGACACGGAAGGGGTTCTCGAACTTTCCGTATTCGGCCTCCGTCGTTGGTGAAGCGAATTAATTCAACTGTCTTATCACCCGTGGAGAAGTAAAATCTGTGACCTCATCGAGGCCGGCTAGATCAGGTAGGATCGTAGCCGTAACAAGTACAAGTAAAGGTTTCTGGAGATGTCCTAGAAAAGACGACTGCTTAGTTTACTTCATCAATAGGTGCCAAGATTTGGCTTTTGCGGCAGGGTGAATATCTTGAGATACACGTGTATTCCTCTACTCAGGACTGCGTAGTCTAAGGTGGGCTTACTTCCTGTTTCGCTTCCAGACCTGAGCAACGGTTAGTCTAATGCCTCTGTTCTACTGACACTGGAATACCTTATATCACGCATTTTTATATTGTGATTTTTACAAGACATAGGGCCAGGACCTTCCTATCCTATTTCGAGGGCCTTGCACCAACTTCTCTGAAGGTTAAGATAGTACTTTGGTTAAGGAGTCAGTTTAATGTTAGGTCTAAGGTTTTATCTCGATAAATTTTAGCCTGCCTGGAAAAGCTTCGTGGTGCCATAGGCATCACCAGCGGGTTCCACTCCCCGCGTTTTACTCTATTTTTTATCTTTAATAAAACCAAGAAGTCAATAGATACTATCCCGCATATAGCCTATAGTAAATGTTGCAAGGACCTATCGAGTAGTTGAATCAGTATGATTGTTGCTCGCCCTCAAGTTACCTGTTGCCGTTGTGGTAATGCTGGAAGGAATATGGACTTCAAAGAGCTGGTCCGTGTTGAGCGTCAGCTCATGGGCATAGCAACTCCGGTTGCGCTCGTAATTGTGCCTTTAGCCATACACACGCTTTTTGGAACAAAGTAAATTCCCCTACCGTGAGCATTTGGTTTGCTTTCCTGTGTAAGACGGGTTCAAAGTCCTGCCTGTCGAACCGGACATGCAAACCTTTTCAGAAGACGTTCGACTATGGCCCTATGAAGAAACCAGGCAGCCCGACCTCGCACAGACGGGTCATGTCAGTAGTGTAGAGAGGATGAATGATACCGAGCAGGTTTCAAGAGGTAAATACGAAGGGCCTAAGCTGGCATCCGCTACTCCCACTGTTCCTGCTGATCTCACTGACATTGCTCTAATCAAACGGTTAAGAACTCTAAAAAATAGAATCTCATTATATCCTTTCCTGGTCCCCCTTCAAGGATTAAGGGGGTAAGTCTTTCAAAGCCAGATATTGAGAAACTTTTTTGGTAACGATACCTTATATGTCACACTATGTAGTTTACTATGCATTACTTACCGCCTATCTAGTAAGCTTATTTTCTTGTGTACGTATTCAGAATTTATCAATCAATTGCACTCCCGCCACGGCAATATTTATCGTTATGTGGTTAACTTTAGTTGTATTAGTTGCGTGGTTTCCTGGCGGTTACGGCCAGCTGGTCGATTGACGGCGGTCAGTAAAGTTATCTGGGCTCCGCTACGCCAACTCCCTCCACCCTTCCCCCTTCCTATCAAATTTGCGTGCACTCTACCGTTTGCTTGCGCGTGGCTAGCATACACGCACAGTGGCGCGCTCGCTCGCTATCAAATGAGTTATGTCGACGGCCGTATCGAGCTTTTTGTTTATTACGGTCGTAATCGCAGCCGCCTGTGATTCAAATGAATGCAGGGATAGGCTTTGGGTTCTGACTTGCTCAACTGCTTTTAATGATGGAGTTAGTAGGGAGTGACTGTACCACTGACATAAACGATCCTAAGAGGAAGGCAGGCTTACAGTGTAGACTTTTTGTTTCCTATTGATTGCATTTCTAATTTAAATCATCGCGCGCCAAACATTAGGCTATCTAAATATTTATCCCTATGATGAAAAGAAAGAAGACCTTCGGAAAATGGAGCTGTACTCGTGCATTTTTGAACCGGTAGCACTTGTTCGTCGTTAGACTAAATGTGAGGGCTAGAAATGACACACTAGAGATTTTGGGGGCGGCGGTTAAATCGGATTATTCCTATCATTTTTTACTTCTATACGCTCTACCTTTTTTCCTGATTTGACCCACGTATATAATCCTTTTTACCACCATTCCCGTATCATAAAAATGATGAATTTTCTGTTACTACAGTGTTACTTATAAGGACTCCTTGTCGATTGTTTAACTTACACCGTATAGAATTGTTGAGTCAATTATAACACGTGGAGGAATTTATGTGAATGAGCAGAACCGCAGGTTCGGCATCATACGGAAGAACTTTCGTTACTTTTACCAGTCAAATTCACTTTTAGTGCCTCTATTAATTTTCCGTTTATCTGAGAAAACATGTGACGTAAAATGTGGCCGTAATCAATGCTAACTCAGGTTTCTGATATCAAGTTAATGCAAGTGCATACGCACTAGCATGTGTCGTCATTCACTAAATACGCATCCGAAGTAGACTGTTTAAGGACTTTCAACGTATCTGCCACTTAGAAGAAAAAGAAGATGTGATCGCTGGGACAAGACCTTTATTCACCTCTTCTTCTGCTTCTCCTTTACTTCATGGGACTCACGTGTTCGCCTGTAATAGCTAAAAGTTTCTTCCTACACTTCCACTAGGATATTAAAATTGCACCGATGCCCCGAGAGAAACAAGCAAGCCTTCTCGAGTCCTATTTATACTGCTAAATGGTTCATTTATTCAGTCATTTTGGAACTTACCGTTGCGTCTTGAACATTTGCCACTCAGTACTGTAGGCAGACCAGGGATGGAAAGACACTGCTCGGTACGCTTCTCTGGTCGCCCTACTTTGGACCGCAGTAACACGGTAGTTTTGCCAGTCATTGGATCTTTGTTGGTCACATTGACCTCGTCATCAAGGGCAGTAGCACGACGAGAACAAACTCTGGGACAAATGCCCCGCGGATCCTCTTCTATGATTTTTTTGTAAACTTTGTCGTGCTGCATCCGCAGGACTCGCCTGAACAGACAATAAAATCCAACGAAATCCATGCGAAATTCTGAAACCTGGAGGACAGTTTTCGCGAGGGCTTCTTTGAACACCCCATTTTGGATAGTGTTGAGATCCAGCAGTCTGTCCCTGTGAAAAGTAAAGTGTTTCCATCGGAAAGCACAGTTCAGATTGGTCAGTCCTGCGGTCCTGCACCTTGTCTTAAACCAGACCATATCATTCCATGACCGGCCTCTACTTTTATTGTACCAAAAGGGACGTTGTAGTGCGTACCAGGGCACTAAACGACTCTTGCCGGGTTTATCTGCCGGTGGCACAACTACTGCCATGAGCTCACTGCCAATGGTCCCTGCTGGGTAGCCCGACCGAGTATGGAACTCGTAGACTGAGGACATACCACTGGGATAGACTAGGTTTATATAGGACTGCGGCCGCATGTTAGGATTAGATGGAATCGCACTTTGAATTATGGAAATAAGGACTAAAAATTTCCACGAAATGGAAGTCATGAAGTGATCTTCGTGCAAG